CATTTGTTTTTCTGCTTCAGACCAATGCGGCTGACCCCCCTGGAACTATTACCATGACCGGGTCTCTCTCAGAAGGCTCAAAACTGAAAATGGGAGGTATTACTTTGGCCACTTTCTGACTGGTATTCTGTACCGGCTTACTTTCACTACTGCCTTTTCCTCAGACCAGTATCTTCTGCCTACTGAACTTCAGGCTCCAGGCTTCCCCTCACAATGAACCACAGAGAGCCTGCATATCTTCGCTCAGATTTGGCCACCCAACAATACTCATAAGCTTGGGAGAGGACCTCCTCCTGTGGAGGATCTCAAGAGAAAAGGCATGTTATTTGTTGAGGGTAGCTTAGAGGCATAAACATAATGGGAGCGGAACTTGACATCCAGTGTATTAGTTCCACGTAAGATGCTCTGAATGTTATCCTCAAAGGAATAATATTTTCAATATTCTTGACGATAATACACAGCATGTGACAACGAACAACCAATGAAGAATTGTCCCAGGTGACAGAGATGCTGTGGCGATTCCTTGTTTTATGTGTGTGTGTCTCTCTTTAAAAGTTTGGTTGCATGGCTGTGATAAGTAGACTAGAGTGGTTGAGAGAAGCAAGCGTGGTATGATTGGTGATTGACAGAGGGGGAAGGGTTTTGGAAGTGAAAATGAGTGGATGAGTAGGTGTGTCAGTCAGGAGTTTTAGTTCAGTGACAGTTACAGGGTTGACAGTTGATAAGTTCAGTTAATTCTGAGTCTGTGAGTGAAGCAGAGAGAAGCAGTTCTGTGTGGGGAATGAGTTAGGCAAGCAGTTAGTTCTGTGTGTGAGGGAAGTGAGAAGCAGAAGAAAGGCTGAGAGAATAGGAAAAATTAAATGAAAGCTTAATTGAAGACAAGTTATAGGAAAGGCTGTATGTCCTGGAGAGAAACAGTGAACATATATGACCTTGAGTTAAAGTGTTACAAAGTTACCTGAAAGATCCCTGTCAGTAAGGGAGCAGACTGTGTGTGATACACCAAGCAATTGTTCATTATTTACACATTAATAGTTACATTGTTCTACCCTTTTATTTATGAATTATTTCAATACATCCTCTTTTATTCAAGTATACCAGATCTGAAAGAAATACTTCCTCAGGACCACATAGTTCCTTGTAAGCCTTGAATTCGGTCTACCTAACCATTAAGAGCAGAAGTAAAAGTATAAAGGTTTGGAAATCCTTAAAATTTCCTGGTGGCAGCTGTCTATACCCAGTAGAACAAAAAAAACAACACACTTTTAAAGTGAAACTAGTCCTCCCCAATAAGGAGGGCGTCACAGTGCCCCTGGACTTAAATGTTGTTCTGTTGCTCCAAACCAACACAGCTACCCACCTGAATCTATCTTCAGAGCCTATGTTTTGGAATCCCGGAACTGTGACCAGATTATTTTATCTCTCTCTCTCTCTCACACACACACACGATTTTTATTAAGGGCATGTTTAACTTGAAGAAATAACCTGTCACTACAATGCATACATATCAAAAATATCTGAGAACACAAAGTATCTCATTTACATTAAGAAACTTTGAAAACACAGAGAACACAGGCTTTAAGAAACACAACATAACAATTTTGCTAAGTAATTTGGCTCCAACTGCCCAGACACCTAAATTTGACCTTACCCACCAGGTACCTTATTACGGGAATAAAAAAAACCCACTGGTTTGGTTCAGACTAACTTTTCTAAATGGGATTGTCTGAACATGGGCCACTCCACTATGCAAGTCTACTTTGGGTCTGCCAGACCAGAATCTGAAATTGTGGTTTGAAATTTATTTATTAACCACAATTGGATTCTCCTATGGTTTCATGTGATGTATAAACAAAGACACCTTGTGTTGTTCCCTGGATACAATGTGGGGGTTATGACACCAGTATCTGCTGAGGAAAACCAGGTTATGAATGAATATCTGCAAGGCAAATCCTGCTTTCATGAATCAACCTGGGTTTTGTGATGTCTGAACTGGGTCATTATACTTAAAAGGTAAAGGTTCCCTTGCTCGAAAGCCAGTCGAGTCCGACTCTAAGGTTGCGGTGCTCATCTCCGTTTCAAAGCCGAAGAGCCAGCGCTGTCCGAAGAAGTTTCTGTGGTCATGTGGGCGGCATGACTAAACACCAAGGCGCACGGAACGCTGTTACCTTCCCACCGAAGTGGTACCTATTTATCTACTTGCAATTTCTTGCTTTCGAACTGCTAGGTTGGCAGGAGCTGGAACTAGAGACGGGAGCTCACTCCGTCATGCGGCAACTCGGGTCTCGAACTGAAGAACTACCGACCTTCCACAGCCTGCAGTTCAACATCTTAACCACTTGAGCCACCGCAGTTCCTTTCATTATACTTACCCTGTCCCAGATCCTGACCAGCTATAAATGAACTGGCTAAGTATCAATAATCTTCCAATATTTCAATATTAACAGCCTAGCAACAGAAACAGAGAAAACATTTTCTCTGTGCTCTTTTAGTGCTGTATGTATGTATGTATATATGTGTGTGTGTGTGTGTGTGTATATATATGTATAAGGAGATAGTTTTCTTCTTCCATGAACTACACAGTATATTAAAAAAGGCTGAACAGACTATAAAAGGATCCTGCAAGTCTGGGCTTGATTACTGGTCTCTCACCAGAAAGCACAGGCTGGAATAGGAATATGTTTGCGCTATTCAGGATAACAGAACAGTTATCCTCAGCTGTGAACGGGAAGCTCGCCTTGCAGAATCTAAGCTTCACAGAGGCTGAGTTCAGACGGGCAGTTTGCCCCGATAAAGGCACGTTCCACAACCGTTCCACAACCGGATTAAAGGGGCCGTTCACACAGGCACATCTGTCCGGCGTTCCCCAGCCGTACTCAACCCGTCTTGTAACGCTTCGCTCCCGACTTTAAAAGATACCTGGTGAAAGTGGTAGCAAACCCTGGAAAGCGCGATTATCCCGCGTCCATCCCGCACCAACAAAGTGTGAACGCCAAAAGCCGCGTTTTTCTTGTGCGATTATGCGCATATCTCCAGATTACAAAAAAGAAAGCCGCGCCTTACAGCCGCGCCTCCACCAGGGGCGGGCCAACAGTGTGAACGCTCCCTTGCGCCTCCTCCCCGGTATGCTCCCACATCAGTCGGTGCAGTTTGTTCCGGGTCTTTCTTGCCACGACTCCCTCCTGCTTCAAACTGCCAGTCTGAACTCAGCCAAAGAACTGGTCCAGGCTCTTAGTTCCATACTTCTGTAAGCAACAGAAGTACTTGCATAATAGGACATCAGGCTCCATACGGAGTGGATTTTCATACACTTTTCAGGACTGACTCATGCTTGGAGCCTTGGGTGCTGTGTTGCAGCTAACAGTCTTTTGACACTGGTCAATACCGCTTAGCTCTGAAGTAAAACTCTATGTGAGGACAGCCAATTTGTCTTCATTTGATAAGTTGTCTTCCAGCTGTCTGCCGTGTCTCACGATAAACACAGTCCATGTAATGTTCCTGCGTCTTGAAAACAATGTTGCTGAGCGTCGAAGCAAAGAGGAGAAAGCCAGAAAACCCAACAATCATCAGGATGAATAGAGACACCATGATGTTTTCCTGCTCCTGAGCATAAGGGTTTGTGTAATTGCAGCACTGGACGCTTTTTCTACCCCTTCGCTGCACATAAAGTTGGAGCAAATTCTTCAGCACAGAGCTTGCTTCCACGTCACTGACATTCATTTTATAATGCCACTCACGCTGAACTGAACTGATCCAGACAAGCTTCTCCTGTGTTGTCAGAAACTGATCATTTGTTGTGGATAAAGTCTTCCTAGTCTCTCCTTCTATTTCATGCTCTGCTTCCTGATGTTAAGAATTGTGCTTTCTGAGGTAAATTTAACACAAGCCCTCAGTTGACTAACTATATAATGAACCTGGGGAGGGGGAGTCATATATATATGCCAGTAATTTTACGCCTCCAGTACCTGCTATATGGAATTTCATACTAGCCACTGAGATTTTAAAAAGAATGAGTTTAAAATCTTTTTCTAATCCCAGTGGTATGAAAGGCTGCTATTTAATTATTTCAAGCTGACGTTTTGTTCTGCTAAACATACTATCTATCCTGGCCCCATTGTAATATGCTAACCCTAATTCAGCTCCACCTCCCATATGTTAATGTCCACAGAGATCTCTTGTCAATGGACCCACCATCTGAGGGAAAGCAGACCATCCCGAGGCCTAGGGCCCTAAAGCGTCTTCCTGCTCAAGCAGGTTCATCTATTGCCCTCCTTATTAGCCCTCAGAGAGCTTCTTCCTAAATTAGGATGTTTTATGTCGAACCTGCTGACTGTAATTGATGTAAACAGATTTAGAAGTGCTTATGAGGCAGTGTGTAGATTTTAGTGGCTTGTTTTCTTTCATTTGGTGTTCATACAGAACAGTGCTTGTCTCAGACACAGAGTTGGTAGGGTGACTTGGGATTTCAACGGATGAACCAAGGTTCTGCACTGCAGCATTTGTGAAGGAAGGGGCCCATTTATCATTTAGTCAGAACTCGCAGGAGAGGTAGCAGAGGACCGAGAAATGAACTGGGAGGGGGGGGGGAAGCGGCTAGCGGGAGCATGCAGAGTAAACAATGAGCTGATAGTCCTAAGGTGGAGAATGAGGTTCGGGGGAGGGGGGATGGCAGAGGAAACTGGGCATATTCTACACCGGCTTGAAAGTCACATACTTGTGGAGACAACAGGAGGTGCAGACACAGAGTTGAGGAAAGGTGGAATGTAGAATTTGTAAGGGATAAACACACACACACGCGTACCTTGCATGGTTTTCCAGAACACGAAGAGGAGATGATGCAAACCGAAGGTCCCACACCTGAATTACGGGCAGCCTGTCGTCTTCTGAAGCCAGAACCATTTGGGTAGCGATATCTGGGTGCCAAGCGAGGCCTGAGCAATGCATCTGGAGGGGGGAAGAAGTCAACCCTATCATCATCCCTGGCTTAAAAGAGTACAAAACCCTTTGCCCCAGTTTCAGGCATCTGCTTGACACATTCCCTTACGAACGTGGCTGCAGCCAGACCAGCGTGGGAACAACTCCTTTGGCCTGCTTTCGACAACTCATTGGCATAAATACAAGTGAAACATGAACACATTTCTCAGACTCACGGGAGCACCACTACCTGGAAGGGACCAAGTGATGGAGGTCAACATATATACAGAAAACAGAATTGCAATTACAGATGTGCTCCACTGGATAAAGTCTTCTTCCCCACCCCCCCAAGAAACTCATGTGAACAAATCAAGAAACCATATGTTGTCGAAGGCTTTCATGACCGGAGTTCATTAGCGGCTGTAGATTTTATGGGTTCTGTGGCCGTGGTCCACGGCCACACAACCCGGAAAATCTACAGCAACTAAATCAAGAAACGTTGTCATTCAGTGTCCCGCAGGTGCAGCAAAGTGAATTAAATAACAATGTGGATAGTCACAGGAAGCTGCCTTATACTGAATCAGAACACTGGTCTATCTAAGTAAGTCCTGACAGCGGCTCTCCAGGGTCTCAGGCAGAGGTCTTCCCCAACACTTGTTTTCTTATCCTTTTAAGTAGAGGTGCTGGGGATTGAACCTGGGCCTTCTGCATGCCACGCAGATGCTCTTCCACTGAGCCACGGCCCCTCCCCATTAACTTCCTCCATCTTTTGAGAAGCCAATTAAGAAAGCCAGTTAAGGGCAGGGAGCTGTTCCTGTTGGCAGCAGAGGACAGGACTCACGATAATGGATTTAAATTAAGGGCGGGAAGATACCAGCTGGATATTAGGGAAAACCTTTTCACAGTCAGAGCTGTGCAACAGTGGAATCAGCTTCCTAGGCAGGTGGTGGTGAGCGCCCCCTCACTGGCAGTCTTTGAGTAGCGGCTGGACAAATGCTTGTCAGGGATGCTCTAGGCTGATCCTGCACTGAGCAGGGGGTTGGATTAGATGGCCTGGATGGCCCCTTCTTTCAACTCTGTGATTCTATGATCCTGTAAAACAAACACTCAAGACATTGCCAGAAAAAGCAGTGAACACACACCTTAATGCGGTGAGGGACTTGTGTGTATCAGAGAAGCTGAGAGCAATACCCCAGGGAGTTTAGACTCTGTCAAGGAGCTAACCGCCTAGCCGAGTCACTAAGATGCATCCACCCTCTTCAGGGATCAACGGCCACACCGGCAGAACAGAACAGACAGTTCCAGTGGTGATGGTGGCAGAGGAATCCTTGAAGGGTGGCTACTGGGTAGCAGCAACAGTGGAAGGTGACACTGGTGGCAGATCTTTCACAGACAACGGCAATGCTACTTCAGCTAACCCTGGTTAGTACTGCGCCAAAGAAGCTAACAGCAAACCACTTCTCATCTTCTCTTAGTTTGAAAATCCTACAAGACAAGACAATCCAAAAACAAAACAACAGGAAGTTTTGGAGGTCACTCATTCATCGGTTCGCTACTCGCTGGAAGCAACCTGACAGCACTTAACACACCCACAAAATGCTTTAAGACAAAAATCAAGTGCAGGGCAGAACACGTGTACCTTTTTAAAAGATGCAATCAAATCTAAGCTCCCTTCCCTGGCAGTAACCACTGCTAGGCACAGTGGGAGTTTCTTCTAAGTAGACATGTGTGGGATTATGTTGTACGAAAAGGAATCCGGCATCGTATCATCTACGTGTGTGATGGATACCCAAGTTTATGAAGGATACAGGTCACATGGAATTCACTGCCACAGGAGGTGGTGGCGGCTACAAGCATGGAGGGCTCCAAGAGGGAATTAGATTAGTGTGGTTGAACACAGGCCGCTATATTAGCATCTGACAGAAGTGGAGGCAACGGTGACTTGCAGCATTGTGTTTATATTCTTTTTTTATGGCTATTTTTAGCTCAGCAAGACGGGGACTTTGATGAGATTCTCATCCTAATCCCAGCTCTCTGAAGAAGCTGCTCCGTTCAGGATGGACAAAAGGAAACACGGCTTTGCACCGCGAGTGATTAAAATGTGGAACTTGCCGCCAGAAGATAAAGGAAACCACGGCTACTCATTTGAAAGAACTGAGCATGGCTATTAACGACCGGACGTTTTGGAGATCATGCATTCACAGAAGCGACTTGATGGCACTTAACACAGAGACAAGATGCAAATGTTCCATGCTCAGGGCGGTAGATAAGGAGTCCTGCGTCCCTCCATGTTGGTGTATAAGCTTCAGCGCTATGATCAGGAGCATCTATGTGACAGTGGACAGCTGCACTGAACCAGATTCAGCCAGTTTAGACTTGGGCAGAGGCAAGCCAAGTCACCACGATTCAGCACTACTCTGATTGGCTGACCAATGTATATATGTGGATGTATTGCACTGCATTCTCTCTCTCTGCTGGCGGATGGTGTCTGGCGGAGCATTTTGTTAGAGAGCTGTATAATTTGTAAATAAATTTCTGTATATAGTAACCACTGGGCTGTCTCAGTGTGGTTGACTATAGAAAAGCCTCTGGTTGCAAGCAATGACTGCTGGTGAGTGCAAGTGTGACTGAGGTGCCGGTTCAACTGTTCCAGACGCGCTGCGCAACACTCCATTTCCAAAAATATTTTTTAAAAAGGCAAGGGACAATTGTGCAAATTAGGCCAAAGTAGGAACGATGCTACATGTGGATTGTTCATGTCACATGCCGCCATACGCATGAGGGGAATTCACAGGCTCCTTCACCGAGTGAAGACAATTTTTGCCTATGGACTGGGGAAGCAGTGTTCCCTCTAAGCTGAGTTAGTGCGAGCTAGCTGAGTATTTTAGCCTCTGGTTCACACACTTTTGTCTTAGCCCAGGAAGGGATGGCTCCAGAGCGGACTAATTTATGCAGCAGCCAAACCGCTTGCTCGCGACTTTAATGCCAGTAGCTCACAAAGTAGAATTTTTGCTCACGAGACTCCAAAGATTAGAGGGAGCCTTGCTGGGAAGCCATCTTAATTAACGCCACCGTCTGCAGCAAACTGGCTGGATAATTACCCGGTTGCTGTGGTCGCTGACTTTGATGATAGGTTCATTCTTCCTGAGATCCCACACTGTGGCACGGCCACTTGGGCTAGCAGAAGCCAAGATATGCTGGACTTGCCTGTTCCACGCAATACAGCTGATGTCTTCAGGAGGCTGTTGGAAGCAGAACATATACTGATATACCATCATTTCGACAACAGGAAGCAGCAGTGAATGTAAGCAAAACACTTTAAAATCGTCATCTCTGCAGCCCACTGCCAAAGGACGTAACAGCAGGCCAATATATCTTCTAACATCTGTGCTAGAACTCTTCCTCCCAGGCATCCAAGCACCCCCATGAACTCTTCAGGTTAATCGGTGGAAATGATGGCTAGCATCACACGACATCACACCTGCCTCAAATCCTGAGTTTTTGGGGGATGGCCAGATGGTTGCCCAACACACTGATGTACCATCCAGGAATTTGGGTGGATGTGGCCTTGGCCACTGCAAGATGCAAGGGTGGGAGGTCTTCCACTACCAGCAGGTAACTGGCACCAGGGGTCGTTTCGTAGAAAAAGAGCTAGGGGGACTCATTAGCATAACTCATTAGCATATGCCACACCCCCCCCCAACGGTCCCGGCTGCCACCGCCAGCCTTGCAGCTCCACTGCCGAGCCCCATGAGGGGCCCAGCGGTGGACCTGCAAGGCCGGCGGGAGTGCAAGGAAGCCCCGCCAAGGCCCTCCCTGGCCCCAGGCAGGAAGGGGTGGGGAGAGGCAGGGAGGAAGCAACTTACCCCCCCTCTTCTCCTGCCTCCTCCTGGCTGAATGAGGGCCGGAAGCGGGGCGGCCAGAAGCATGGAGCGGGGCTTCATCATGTGCCCCGCCCCCCCGTACCTCACCCGGGGGAACTGCGATCCCCCGATCCCCCCTGAAATGACCTCTGACTGGCACCCCCTATGCCCAGCCCTTTCATACGATAAGAGGCAGCTCAGAGACCAGATTAAGCAAATTACTGAGTTACTGTAAAACCCAAAAGCTCACAACTGTTCAGGCTAGATGTGAAAGAATGGTGGGAGCGGCGTAACTAAACAAATACTGCAATGCTCAGTCCCTGTATTCTAAGGAAGGAACAATTTAAGGTTATCAAGGTGAAGCTGCCTTGACTACAGCACAGAGGCAACCCAGGCGATTTATAAAGCTTGCAGCCGCGAATAAATAGCATTACCAGTCTACAATAACCATGCTACAGAGATTACAAATAGGAGAAATCAAACTGAGGGTTTTTTTTTTGTTTTTTAAAAGCCTGGAAAAGGTGATTAGTGATAATGGGGTGGCAGGGCTCTTTTTGTAGCAGGAACTCCTTTGCATATTAGGCGACACACCCCTAATGCAGCCAATCCTCCAAGAGCTTGCAGAGCTCTTCTTACAGGGGCTACTGTAAGCTCTTGGAGGACTGGCTACATTACAGGTGCGTCGCCTAATATGCAACGGAGTTCCTGCTACAAAAAGAGTCCTTTTCAAATGACTTCTACACTGCATTATTGTGCCTATCCAGCATCTCTCATCCTACGCCTATTACACACATGTATTTAGAAGGCCAGTACAGTGTAGAGATTAGGGGGACCACCTATGATCTGGGCCACCTGGGTTCAAAGCCCTACTCAGCTTGGCCCACTGGCTGACCTCAGCCTGCGCACTCTCTCTCTCTCTCTCTCAGCCTAAGTAGCCTCACAGTGTTGTCGTGACGATAAAATGGAGGAGGGGAAGAAGAAGAGAAGAGGAGACTGGATTTATACCCCACCCTTCACGACCCGAAGGAGTCTCAGAGTGGCTTACAAACTCCTTTCCCTTCCCCTCCCCACAACAGACACCCTGTGAGGTAGGTGGGGCTGAGAGAGTTCTCTTGAGAACGGCTCTTGAGATAACAGCTCTGAGAGAACTCGTAACTGACCCAGGGTCACACCAGCAGCTGCATGTGGAAGAGTGGGGAATCAAGCCCGGTTCTCCGAGATTAGAGTCCATGCTCCTAACCATTACACCAAACAGGGAGAACTATACATGTCTCACCGAGGCTTCTTAAAGAAAATGTAGGATAAAAATATGGTATACAGTTGGCCTACAGATTGCCCTCTTCTCCAGTTTGATCCCTTGCCTAGAGATAGTATAAAGACCTTCTACCTGGGGCTGGGAAGGGAGAGGATGCTTGCCACTTTGGCTTGCAGACTGCCAGCTTTTCTGATTTTGCTCTCAATAGGTGTTCTTGGCAGTGTAGTAGCACCCCCCACACACACACAACAGAAAAGATCAATTGAGCTTTTCCACAGTGGTCAAAACAAGTTTTTGAGGCTCAAGTGGTGTCAACAAATGGACTGGGTGCCAGCTGAAGTTTTGTAAAAAAAACAGGGGTGTCAGTAATGGATGTCTTGATGTATCTGGATTGCAGGTGACTAGAACATGATTCTAGACTGTTAGCAGCATTGAGTTCTGTGATGAAAGGGCATATCGATATTTGAAATAAATCAAAAGAATAAATACCCATACCACTCCATACAATTTCAACCTGCTTCATCCAGACGGTAAAGCAGGCTGTTGGCCGTAGGAAACTTACTGATGAACCATTTCATTCCTCCAGCATCCACACTTTTAAAAAATCTTACTGCGTTTACAAATTAACACAGTTTGTAAATCACTAGAAATCTCCAAGTCCATTACAGGATGTACCATCAGACAAGTGGGTGTTTGGCAAAAAAAGGTTCTAAGACACTCCTGTGCAATGAGCTTTGGAAAACAACGTATACTTAATCTGACTGTAATCACATGCACATCATCCCACCCATTACTAAATGTTCATTTTTTTCACCCTTAGGCAAAGCATACATCCTGTACCTGTGTCTTGGCTCCTGGTGTCATTGGTGTTGCAAAGTTGTTCAGGTCCCAGATGTAGATCTCAGACTCATTTGCTCCAGACGCTACTAAGTTTGTCTGTAACAGGGGAAAAAAACATGCATCCCTCTGGAGGTTAGAGAATTCCTTGGAGGCAGCCTTCCTAATCAGGGAAGGACCAAAGCTAGAAATCCTGCAACTATTTATACCAAGTAAACTAGTGCTTCTTTTTCAAAGCAGCTAATATGGGACAGGAATTCTCTCAGTCCTAAGATTTAGGCAAGGATTCACAAACACAGCAAAGAGCTGGTGTAATGATTCCTTGTTTTACTGTGTGTGTGTTCCTTTAAATGTTTGGTTGGAGTGCAGTGATAGCAGAGTAGAATGATTGAGGGAGACAAGTGTGGTGTGATTGGAGGATGAGAGAGTGTGGGAGGAGTTTTTGAAGTGAATCTGTGTGGGTGTGTCAGTTAGTCAGATATAGAAAAGTCGGTTAGAAAAATCAGTTGGAATTATTCAGTTAGTGAGTTCAGTCAGTGAGGGATATTATTGTTCTGTGTGGAATCTTAAAGAGTGCAGTATATATGTCTTCAAAAGTGAAACTCTAAAGATCTGAAAGAAAGTCAAAAATACCAAAAGCTTAGCCAGTGTGGCTGCCTATAGGAAAGAGTGATTCCTGTCAGTGTTGGATCTGAGTGTCAGAAGAAAAGAAAAAGAAAAAAGGACTGTGTGTGATACATTTGCCAGACCTATTTACAAGCCCCTTATTCCCAAACAGATAACCAGCATCTTATTTTGTTCTTATTTCAATAAATCCTATTTTGTTTAAGTTTATCCCAGAATTCAGTTCAATCCTTCCTCAGGACCACATAGAACTCTGAAAGCCAGACTCTGGATCGCATTTCCAGCAGCAGATACAGAGAGAAGGTTTGGAATTCCTTAAATTCCTGGTGGCAGCAGAAACTACCCTGTTTGTGAATCCAAAGTATAATTTTAAAGGGAAAACCAGTCCTCCCAAATAAGAGGACGCCACAAAGTGTTGACTAGCAGTGGGATACAAACATTCTGAGGAAGAGAGCATACATTAAGTGATTAAAAATTCTGGGAGAAAGAAAAACTCTGAGAGAAACATGACAGAGTTTCTAGGAATGAAGAAAGAGGCTCTGATCCAAAAGTGTAAAGACTTAAATTTACCTCATGAGGGCAAAAGTGTAGTAGAGATGAGAATTTAAAAAGACGATTGAAGATAACAGCGTGGGAAGAGAAATTGACTATGTTACACCTACTAACGGAAATATAATTATTAATTTGCTTTAAATGAAGGAGGGAAAAATAATTGTAAAATGAGATGCCACTGTTCTCTGAAATTTGTGTTTAAGTGAACTAGCGATTATCCTGGAATGCTCTCTATATAGTCAGATTTGATGGTTAACATAATCGACAATGATGATTGACCACTCTCAATGTCAAGAAAAGCAATTTCTATATTGTTAAGCTAATACTTTTATAAGCAATATAAGACCTCCAACTCTTGGGTTTTTAGTGGGTTTTCTTTACTTTCTCCCATAGTTGTAGATCCCCTCCCTAATTTTGTTGTAGTTTTTAGAAAATGCAAATAAAAAATCCCCAATGGGGGGCCAAAAAAGAAAATAAAAGAAAAGAAAGAAAGCTCATAGCACCACAAAATCTTGTTGCTTCCTGGACTTGACCCCAGCTGTTCTACTGCAAGACCAACCTGGCTGCCTTCTGAAACATTAAGAGGAAAGCATCATGCAGCGCCTGGATGATGAATCACACACTGTAGTCCTACTAAGTGTTCCCTCTAAGCTATTTTCGGAAGCTTCTGTTTCAAATCAACAAGAACACTGAGAGCTATTTAAGGAAATCTGGTGTGGGGGGGAACTGCCAAAGGTACATAATTAAAACAGTAGCTCACAAAGTAGAATTTTTGCTCACGAGACTCCACAGCTTAGAGGGAACATTGGTCCTAATCATACTTTACTGCTAATTTTCACCTCCACCACCCTATTTCTATTTCTGGAAGCTTCTGTTTCAAATCAACAAGAACACTGAGAGCTATTTAAGGAAATCTGGTGTGGGGGGGAACTGCCAAAGGTACATAATTAAAACAGTAATTTGGAAACAGCACAAGATGCATAAGATAGAGTTAAATAGTACAGGTGAGTGAAAATGCCAGTGTTTCTTCTTAGAACATCAGTACATAGTCAGCGTGGTCTAGTGGACCAATCACAATTTCCCCACAAATATACTTGGTAGCCTTATGCCATTCGCATAAAAAAAGCATAAATGTACATGTCAATGTACATGTAAAATGGTACTAACGCCAAGCACACAATTTATAAGGCTGCCCTTCCACTTATCCCACTGCCCCAAGGCAATGTACAGAACAGGGGTTCCCAACCGTTTGAGCCTGTGAACACTTTTGGGCACAGCGCTGTGGGTGCAGCTACAAAACGGTTGCTGCAGGAGGCAAAGCCAGGCACAAAGTGGCTGCCCCAGGATACCTTCAGTCACGCAGTTGAAGACCCTTGCACTGTGCTTCCAAAATAATGTTTTTAAAAATCTGCAAAGCCAATCAAATCTCCAACCGCCAACCAGAAGCCTTGCTGGGCGAAGGCCCCACTTTCTAAAAACACTTGGCAGGCACCAGGAAAGGTGTCGGTGGGTATCACGGCATCCACGGGCACAACGCTGGAGACCCCTGGCATAAAGCATAAACTATCACTTTAAAGAAGATTAACACAACTGGAACCTTAAAACCACAATACAAAAATCACCTACTACAGATGCATCCATAAGGGTTAAGGAGCTCTTTATATCGCAGTCTTCACATCTAGTAAACAGCATGATACAGGGAAAAAAAATCTAACCTGGAATATGTTGACATCCAGAGCTCTCACCGGCCCCGTGTGCTTGTCCTTCTGCGCAATCACAACTTCGCTGTCACCAGCTATTATTTTAGCCGGATCATACAAGATGACGTTTCCATTTTCGCCACCTGCGATAAGCACGCCTGAAAGATTCCCGTCGGGCGCCATCTTGTGAGGGCCCCATATCAGTTTGTGATATCTGCAAGATGAATAGGGGGATTCTATTACATCAAGGAACAGCACTCCACCCATCAGTCTCTGTTAACAAATTTATTTGTATGCAATTCATTTATACCCCACCTTTCTCCACAATAGGGACCCAAAGCCGCTTACATCATTCTCCTCGTCACCACTTTAGCCTCACATCAACCCTGTGGGGTAGGTTAGGCTGCGAGAGTGTGACTGGCTGAAGACAAGCTACCCTGGCAGAGAGGGGATTCAAATCTGGGTCTCCCAGATCCTACCAACAGTCTTAGCCACTACACCCAAACAAACAGCAAAGTGGCTACAGTGTGGAAAAAGATACCTGCATTCAAATGCCTGCCTGTCATGGAAACATTGGGTAGTCTTAAGATGCTCAGCCATACTCTACTTCAGAGGAACAACAAACTTAGTCCAGTGGCACATTTAAGACCAACAAAGGCTTATTCAAGGCATGAGCTTTCGTGTGCACACACACTTTACCACAGCGGTGACACAGTGGGTATATCCCACTGTCTTAACATCCGAACTGTGTCACTTCGAGCCCCGCGCTGGCATGAGCAGCCAGCCTGTCGTCCCCACCTCATTCTGGTATAGAAACAACCTTTATCAGCGGCGGCGAAAGAAGAACTGAGGGAGTGTGCGGAGCCCCCCCTGGATCACGTGACCGTTAGGCGGGAAACGGTTACGATTCTCCAGTTGGGAGGGGCTCCTCCCACTCGGTAACTAAGCTAAGAAAAAAACCTTCCGGTGGCTGGCCTGCGGCTGCGCAGATCCCATGTGTGCCTGCACAGGACAACTGGATGAACAACAGTTACGGTGAGTGCAACACTGTTTTCAAATGCCTGCCTGTCATGGAAAAACTGGGTAGTCTTAAGGCCTATCCCCTATGAAAAACATTGTTAGTCCCCTGTCTAAAGAGTAACTGTAAATCACTTTGAGCCCACTTGTGGGGAAAGCGATTATTAAATCGAAAGCATTATTATTAAATCGAAAGCATTACACACGAAAGCTCATGCCTTGAATAAGCCTTTATGGGTCTTAAAAGTGCCACTGGACTCTAAATTAGTTGTACTGCTTCAGACCAACACGGCTAGCCAACCGAATCTATCTACTTCAGAGGGATGCTGAGGATAAAGAAGTGAGAATTGTAGGGCAGTTTAAACTGCAGGCCGGAGAACCTTACAGTTCAAACAAGTTTAGATTTCCATAGGATTATAGATATTTGGCTTAGATCATGAAAGGGGGAAAGTCTGACCAACCTATGTCAAATAAATATAATTTGATACAACAGAGTCTCAGTAATCTTGGCACCTCCGATGACAGAGTGAACTGTGGTCAATGGAAGCACAATGTCTCCTGTTGACACTGTATCTGCCATGAAAGATTCATGGACGTAGTCCAACGCCAGTGGAAATTTCTCAGCTCCTTCACCACACTAGGAGAAGCCTGCTTTGCTCTCACTGCCAAAGCTGCTTAGTCATGAAAAGCAGCTGCTGTTAGCTCAGTGCGAGAACAATTAGAAAGGCTTATGGTCGGAGTTCTTCCTCCTCGGTCAATTTACACAGGACTCCAGTAAACAACAGAATGCACAAAGATGTTTGGGATCATCTGTCTAAACAGAGAGCACCCGTCCAGAGTTTATGAACAAGGACAACTACACATATATTATTGATTTATTGATTTTATTGATTTTTATCCCGCCCATTCCGGCCTAGGCTGGCTCATAAGAACATAAGAAGAACCAATAGTTCATCAAGTCCAGCAGTCTCACAAATTAGCCAAACAATTCCTCTCGAGGACCAGCAATAGGGCATAAAGGCCAAGGCCTTCCCTTGATGTTGCCTACTAATTCTGGGATTCAGAGGATTAGTGCCTCTGAATATGGAGGTTCCCCTCAGTCACCATAGCTAGTGGCCATTGAAAGACATATCCTCCATGAATCAATCTAATCGCCTTTTAAAGCTGTTTATTCCTGTGGCCATCACTACATCCTCTAGCAGCAAATTCCACATTTTAATCACTCTCTGTGTAAGGCAGTATTTCCTTTTGTCCCTCCTGAACCTACTGCCCATCAGCTTCACTGAATGCCCTCAAGTTTCAGTATTTTGGGAGAAGGAGAAAAAATTTCGCTTTGTCAGCTCTTTCCATTCCATGCATAATTTTATAACCCTCTATCACAGTGATGGCGAACCTTTTAGAGACCGAGTGCCCAAACTGCGACCCAAAACCCACGTATTTATCGCAAAGTGCCAACATGGCAATTTAACCTGAATACTGAGGTTTTACTTTAGAAAAAACAACTCATACATTAACTTAAGATGATCCAAACAAAGTAAGGAAAGCAATCCCAAATGCTTTCATTTACTTTAAATTATTTGGCAGAGAATTCGACACTTTAATGATGGTCTGGGCCTGGCTGGGGCAATGACACACGTGCCCACAGAGAGGGCTCTGAGTGCCACCTCTGGCACCTGTGCCATAGGTTCGCCACCACTGCTCTATCATGTCTCCCCTTAGTTGTCTCTTTACTAAACGGAAAAGTCCCAGACGCTTCAGCCTTTCATCATAGGGAAGGTGCGCCAACCCCCGAATCATCTTGCTTGCCCTCCTCTGTAATTTTTCCAGCTCACAATGACCTTCTGGAGAGATGGTGACCAGAACTGTGCACAGTATTTCAAATGAGGACGCACCATAGATCTATACATGTCCATGCATGGTGGCCTATGAATTAAGGCTACTGGGGGGTACCCCCTGTACAGGGGCTCCCTAGAGCCCTGCTGCAACTCCTGTACCTATGGAACCAGGAATTCAAGCAGGGAGAAGGAGCCAGCAAAAGCAACATGGACCGGCTTCTCTTACATCTCAGGGCCCAGGGAACCCAAGTGTGTTCTAGCCAGCTCCTTCCTTTTGTCTCTCTCACCTCTCTGGCTCAACCTATACCACAGACGTAGTCAAGGCTGAAGACCCACCAACCCCCCATTTGGACCAGCAGCATTCTCCCCCACCCTTGCCTTTCCACAACTGGCTCTAGCTTGTGCACAAATAAGCTGTAGCCGACAGATCCAGGGCTTCAGGAAGCACAGAGGTCCTTCCATTGCTAAGTGGCATGAACATGCACAGTGACACACGTGGCAATACAGCTGTGCTCCAGGGAGCATGCATACCTGGCCCCAGGGGTCATTTTGTAGAAAAAGAGGTGGAGGGGCTCATTAGCATAACGTATTAGTATAACTTATTTGCATATGCCACACACCCTGACATCACCGGAAGTGTGTCAGAAGGCAACACCCAACACTCAGGCTCCACTGGATTGTTTTGGTTTGCTAGCTATTGGTGTGTGTGTGTGTGTGTGTGTGCAGATCTGTCCTCACAGAGGAGGGAGACTGGGTTGTTCCCAAGTCTTTATACTGAAATCCTACTTGCATCATTGCAGCAAAAACTGAAGCAGCCTCCAGATCTCCACTGCTGCTGTCTGTAAGCTTTTACACACGCACTCTGGTGGGTATCATAACGGAGACCAAACTTCTTTAAAACCAGAGCTTATACCTGTGAGCGGAGGAGTAAGTGGCAAGGGACTTCATATCCAGCGAGGGGTCAGTCAAGTCCAGTTCAAATATTTCCAAGGAAGCATTGGTGCTGAAGGTCGCGTCCAGCTGCTGAGCAGACGTGCCTGCAGCGAAATGTACAATGGCTCAACACAACCATACTCTAGAGTCGCATTTGAATGCCAGAACAATTCTGCACGTTTGAACAGAAACATAAAATCGGATTTTGGTTTTAGGTTCCCCTCCTTTCTTAAATTGGTTTTAGGTTCCCCTCCTTTCTTAAAGGAGCTGCGGTGGCTCAAGTGGTTAAGATGCTGAACTGCAGGCTGTGGAAGGTCGGTAGTTCAGCAGTTCGAAGCATGCCTGGGCCTCTGCACGGACTGGGTTGTTCCCAAGTCTTTATACTGAAATCCTACTTGCATCATTGCAGCAAAAACTGAAACAGCCTCCAGATCTCCACTGCTGCAGTCTGTAAGCTTTTACTGACGCACTCTGGTGGGTATCATAAAGGAGGCCAACCTTCTTTAAAACCGGAGCTTATACCTGTGAGCGGAGGAGTAAGTGGCAAGGGACTTCATATCCAGCGAGGGGTCAGTCAAGTCCAGTTCAAATATTTCCAAGGAAGCATTGGTGCTGAAGGTCGCGTCCAGCTGCTGAGCAGACGTGCCTGCAGCGAAATGTACAATGGCTCAACACAACCATACTCTAGAGTCGCATTTGAATGCCAGAACAATTCTGCACGTTTGAACAGAAACATAAAATCGGATTTTGGTTTTAGGTTCCCCTCCTTTCTTAAAGGAGCTGCGGTGGCTCAAGTGGTTAAGATGCTGAACTGCAGGCTGTGGAAGGTCGGTAGTTCAGCAGTTCGAGACCCGGGTTGCCGCATGACGGAGTGAGCTCCTGTCTCTAGTTCCAGCTCCTGCCAACCTAGCAGTTCGAAAGCAAGAAACTGCAAGTAGAGAAATAGGTACCCCTTCGGTGGGAAGGTAACAGCGTTCCGTGCGCCTTGGTGTTTAGTCATGCCGGCCACGTGACCACGGAAACGTCTTCGGACAGCGCTGGCTCTTCGGCTGTGAAATGGGGATGAGCACCGCAACCCTAGAGTCGGATTCGACTGGCTTTCGAGCAAGGGAACCTTTACCTTTACCTTACCTTTCTTAAAAAACAACAACAACATGAGATGTTGGATCTCTCCGGCACTTAGGAACACGCTTCATCGCTTGCAACAAGGCTCACCCTCTTATGAAAGCTGCTAACCTTAAAGAATATTTTGTGTGTTGTGGGTGGGGAGAGGTGTGTGGCTCACTGGAAGAGCCTCTGCTTTGCATACAGAAGATCCCAAGTTCGACCCCCAGCTTCTCCAGTTAAAAAGGACCAGGTGACGTGAAACGACCTCTGCCTGAGGCCCTGGAGAGTCGTTGCAAGTCTGAGCAGGCAAGACCGACCTGGATGGATCAATGGTCTGATTCAGTAGAAGGCAGCTTCATGTGCATGTATATTTGAGGGAACCGCTCACAAGTCAAGATGGACAAGTCTTGGTAAGCACCGCTCAGACATGCAGGCTCCATCAAGTGAAATTCGTACTCTTGGTGACGTCTGCATGACATATTCTACTCCATGGGTTCCTCAAATGTTGTAATACATCCTTAAAATATGGAAATCGGTTAAATATATGAGGGCTGTGGCTTATACAAAAAAAATGCCTAAATAAATAAGATAAATAAAAATAAAGAAAATGTTTATAAAATGTTCCACAGATGGTACTGGTCCCCTGATAAATTAGCTAAGTGTTATAGTCATGTAACAAATATATGCTGGAAATGTAAATCCAATGTGGGGACCTTTTACCACATGTGGTGGAAGTGTAAAAAAGCTCAGAAATATTGGGAGATGATAAGCAAAATAATATATGAAATTTTAGATTTGAAACTAGATTTGAGCCCAGAACAACGACCTCTGCCTGAGGCCCTGGAGAGTCGTTGCAAGTCTGAGCAGGCAAGACCGACCTGGATGGATCAATGGTCTGATTCAGTAGAAGGCAGCTTCATGTGCATGTATATTTGAGGGAACCGCTCACAAGTCAAGATGGACAAGTCTTGGTAAGCACCGCTCAGACATGCAGGCTCCATCAAGTGAAATTCGTACTCTTGGTAACGTCTGCATGACATACTCTACTCCATGGGTTCCTCAAATGTTGTAATACATCCTCGTAGATAGTTCTTTGGGTTTTTTTTTAAAGGATTAAAACAAATCCATGGAGTATCGCTGTATTAGCTATGAAAAGAAATCGAACTTCCATGTTCAGAGGCAGTATACCACTGAATACCAGATGCCAGGGTCAAACAACAGGGAAGGCTGTCACTTTCACAGGCTGCTTGGAGGTGCCCTGAAGCATTTGGCTGGCAACTGTTGAAAATGCTGACTAAGACAGGCATTGACTGGATCTAGCAAGGCAAGACTCTGATCTTATTTAGGGCAACTGAGTACACAGAGAAACCCGGTGAAACAAAACAGGAAACAGTTTTGTTCTGGTTCTGCACTGCAGTCTTTCAACTTCAGTACTGTGGTACTTTATCAGGGTTCAAAAAGTATTAAAACTTCCTAAGCCAGCAGGTCTGAATATCTGAAATCCATGCATGCAAGTATCAAAATTCTAGACGGCCAGATCCCAACTAGCTTCTACTGAAACACGTTACAATCAATTCTGCAACTGAATAAATATGAACAGACTCTGGCTTGTTCAGATTTCTATTCCACCTTTCCATTAAAAGACAATAAAACACAGTATCACATGACATGAAATCTTAAACAGCAGGAGACAGGTGAATAAATTATTATTAGAACTATAATTAACTATAATCAAAATGCAGCAATAATCACAGGAAATGTATTGCAAAATAAAAAATAATAAAACAGTAACAGCCACTGAAGCATAATAATGCACCAGACCATCTTGCATCAGTACTTCATCAGCTTTTTACAGCTTACCTGTGGCCAGGTAAATAGGATGATGCTGGGCTGGACTCCATGCCTGCATAGCAGTGCGGTCTATCTCTTTGAGCTTCATTCTGCTGGGGTGGGGAAAGGGACAGATAAAACAGAGATGAATGCTGAAAGGAGGACAAATTACTCTCCAATGAAAAACAGCACAAGGAAAATACATGAGTACTGGGGTCCATGTGCAGGTCAAAAGGATCTTCTAAATATTTTTACATTTTAGAGGTAACATAATTATGCCCTCCTGTCTGCTGAGATTCACCTATGCAGTTTCAAGATAACATCCATTAAGATCAGTTACCAAGGTCTACTTCTGTTGCATAGCAGCAGCCTAGAATGGTTGTCAGAGAGAGAATTTGATTTGATAACCTGTAGATGGTACAGTCCTATTATGTTATTATTATGTCACTCATGACAAAATGTAGCAATACATTTAATTTTATATGGGCATCAGAAAGCCCAAGCCTGTATATTTAGCTCTTCAGTTAGACATGTGTAAGGCCTAGAAGCCTTACTCTGTTGTGATACCCCTTCTCGGTAGTACACTGCCAAATGGATTCGGTCAGGTATAGATTTTATTCAGCTTGTTTTAAACTAGATTTAAAACTCTGCGGGGAGGGCGGGGTATAAATCTTAATAAATAAATAAATATACAATATGCTAAAGCTGTGGTCCCCAATGTGGTGGCTGTGGCTGCCATGATGCCCACCAACACCTTTCCCAGAGCCCTCCATTTGCTCAACAGGATTTCTGATTGGCCACTGGAGATCCAATTAGCTGGGCCCATAAACATAACAGGATTTCAGTGGCAGCTGCCACTACAGTGTTGGTTTTATTTTCTCTCAGTCCTCTTTCCCAGTATAATTTTTTAAAATCATCCCTCCTCTCTCCTGCACTTAGGCTTCCTCTGTGTGTGTGGGGCTCCACCCCCTGTGGCAGCCATTTTGTGGTTGCCTCCACCACGTCCTGTCAGAATGCCAAAAGTTCCCTCGGGCTCACAAAGACTGGGGACCCCTGTGCTCCTGGACTGCAGCCTGAAACTAACAGCTCTAGAACTCAGTCCAAGTGTCTACAGAGATCTTTGGTATGAGCATCATTACAGGACTAGGGTGTGTGAAAAGAACTGGACCACTCACTGTCAACAATGTTACAGACATTATCCTACAGAGATGCTTCTGACACATCAAGGAAGTTTTAAACAACGTAGGGTAAAACATGTACTAAATCATACACTGACCACTGGAATCCCCACCAAAATACGCTGTGGTCATTTCAAAGCAGTACGAAGCAAAATAAAACAAATTAGTTCACTGCAAATAGAACCATAGAAAGCTCTTAGACTTGGCAAATGTTCTTCAAAATGTTATGAAAAAGCAAATTATAGCTTCTTTCTAGCAATTGTTACCTCTGATTAAACTGGCTGAGACTGACCTAAAGAACGCCTCACTTTCTAACCTTCTACCCATGGGACACCCAACAGACGTAGCCAACACTGGATCAACCAAGACTGGACAAGGAAGATAAAGCACATACTGTGGTCATGCTCTGGGTTTGCTCCCAATTCTATCTATATATACAAATACAAAACCTTGGAGACTGTACATAGTTTATCTCGTATTGCATCCTCTAGTCTGAATCACACTTTTGTGCTACCGTTCACACTCTTATCCTGTCATTAAAGATGGAAAACTACATGACTCACTTCACATGCAAAAAACACACCCAACAAACAATTATGTAGACGGCAAGTAATAAGATATTCTGTGCTTTTCAGTTTTTCTGCTCTTGGATGGCTCAATAATATCACTGTGGACCCTGCAACAAGTAGATTTTTAAGGCTCTGTGTAACACTGAGGGAGAAAAGGCAATATGGCCTGATCTCATCAGATCTCGGAAGCTAAGCATGGTGAGTACTTAGTCCTCGAGGCTGGACTACTGTAACGCTCTCTACTTGGGGCTGCCTCTATCGCAAATCCGGAAGCTGCAGCTAGTGCAGAATGCTGCAGCTAGGCTGCTGATGGGTCTCTCCAGGAGAGACCACATCCGGCCGGTGCTGCAAGTGCTGCACTGGCTGCCTATAGCATACCGGATTCGCTTCAAAGTGCTGGTGCTCACCTTTAAAGCCCTGAATGGCCAGGGTCCAGCTTACCTAAGGGACCGCCTCTTCCCGTATGTTCCCTCAAGAGCACTGCGATCGGGGAACCTCCATCGCCTTGAAGTTCCAGGCCCCCGAGCTGCGAGGTTGGCCCATACCAGATCTAGGGCGTTCTCAGTGGCGGCTCCTGCCTGGTGGAACGAGCTCCCGGAGGAGATCCGGGCCCTGCGGGACCTTATACAGTTCCGCAGGGCCTGTAAGACGGAACTCTTCCACCAGGCCTTTGGGTAGGAGCCGCCGCCGCCGCTATACCCCCCCCGCGGCGATACCATCCATCTACCATACTTTGGGGAGTAGATGTCACCCGACTGTGCTGCGGAAATATTGCTCCTGGCGCTCTCGCTATCAAGAACACTGGCTGCAAATGTGGGTTGCTGTGTTTTTTGTAAATTCTATGTAGACGTTTGTAGCACCAGATTTTATTATGTATGAAATATGGTTTTATTGTACCCAATTTTTAAACTTGTTGTTAGCCACCCTGAGCCACCGGGTAGGGCGGGATAAAAATCTCAAAAATAAATAAATAAATAAATAAATATAAATACTTGGATGGGAGACCACCAAGGAAGACTCTGCAGAGGAAGGCAATGGCAAGCCACCTCTGATTCTCACTCGCCTTGAAAGCCCCTTGCTGGGGTGGCCAAAAGTCGTGCGCAACCTGATGGCACATATGTATTTAACACTGACAAGATACCATGTGGCAAAATCCATGTGTATCTACCATGTGCCTACATGGCTCACTCTACATGTAGGCACCATGATTCTCAGCACTGCCTTGTTGGATGGTCAAAGGGATCCATTCCTTTTTCCACCAGCAGAAAAGCTGGTTGGGTCCAATCCATTATCTTAAGGCATACAGCTTTTTGACTCCCAATCATTCCAATTCCTGCATTTGGGCTCCGTATAAGGGAAAAAGCAGGATAGAAGTGTTTTAAATAAATATCTTGCCAAATGCAGAATCCACTGATCAACAATGTACACTGAAATGTTAAGATTCTCATTGATTCTAATTTAGTCTTTGAACACTGTTGTGATGCACCTCTATGTTACTATATCTCAATCAATGACTTTTGTGACAAATAATAAATAAATAAAAGTCTTTTAAAAAACCAAACAATGTACACTGTGTCAAAGTACAACCAATAAATGTTACTTGCAGCCCAGGATTAGTGGATAAAACTATTCAGTGGCCCTTTTTTATTAGTATGAAGAGACCTTCTATGTAGGATCCAGTTTATAAGAACAGTAATGAGAAGGGTTTGCAAGTGTCCTCTTCGCAAACATCTTTAGAAGGGCAATGTGGTCTTCTATAGCAAAGGCCACAGATTTCATTTTAACCACAACCTCCTCTTAATACTTTCAGGTTAGAACCCTGGCTTACTTCACACTAATTTCCATGAGAATATGAAGAAAGACAACAGCTGAAAGTAGAAGCAGAAAGACTTCAAAATTTCAGAAAAGCATAATAATTACTTTGAATCATAGAGTTGGAAGGGACTTCCAGGGTCATCTAGTCCAACCCCATGCACAATGCAGGAAGATATCTACCAGTCACTTAAATTAGTATTCTTTATGGACTATAGCTGTGTTAGTAACCCTTGAAGCGCTCACTCTTTTTCTTTGGTCAATAGCCTCCCCAACAGAAGATAAACCTTAATATTGTAGAATACAGCATTATACCAGAGGTTTAAAAAACAAAACAGCAACTGCATCTTTTGAATATGAAAACAACCTCTTTCCTTAAGGAAATTAAAGGTTTCTTCAATTCCAAATAGGAGCTGTTATTTGCAAAGGGCTTCTAGCCACGAAAAACTTTTGCAATCATTAATCTTGGAAATCCAGTATTTCCAACATGACAAATCCTTTACGGTGGCTCAAGTGGTTAAGACGCTGAACTGCAGGCTGTGGAAGGTCGGTAGTTCAGCAGTTCGAGGCCCGAGTGTGCCACATGACGGAGTGAGCTCCCGTCTCTGGTTCCAGCTCCTGCCAACCTAGCAGTTCGAAAGCAAGAAATTGCAAGTAGATAAATAGGTACCACTTCAGTGGGAAGGTAACAGCGTTCCATGCGCCTTGGTGTTTAGTCATGCCGGCCACATGACCACGGAAACGTCTTCGGACAGCGCTGGCTCTTCGGCTTTGAAATGGAGATGAGCACCGCAACCCTAGAGTCGGATTCGACTGGCTTTCGAGCAAGGGAACCTTAACCTTTACCTTACTTGCATACAAGACAATAAATCAACTGAGCACTGTCTTTTGTGGCTGTTAAACACCTAGGGCTGCGGTCACACGCAACATTAGCCACGCAAGAGATACGGAAGACAAGCGGAGTTTCCGGTCGCGATCTCACCAGCACATCTGGGAAGCGTAGTGCTTCCGTGGCACAACTGAGGCTTCCTGCCGAAAAAGCGCAGCAAAAAACTAGTACCTTGGAGGTACTAGTTTCCAGAAACTGCGGGGCAAGGGCGGGCGTCTGATCGCGTTTCCGGTGGTATCCGGCGCCCGCCCATGTCCCCTTGCGGAAAAGGGGTTTTTTTTTCCCACGTCTCCGTGGATGCGCACACGCACCCAACGGAGCATGCGCATTCGTAGTGTACACAAAAAAAGAAAACCAGTTCGCCGCGCCGCGCGCTTCTTCATTGCGCGCAGGCGTGTGTTGTGATCGGCACCTCTCCCTTGCCATGGAACCTCCACAGTACCTCCACAGAACCTCCACAGTAGGTCTGATCGCTTTACTGCATGTTAGTTTGCCCCGGGGCAAACAGCCACACTTCTCCTCTGCAGTTTCCTGCCCGTGTGACAGGGGCCAATGTGTGTCTTTTCACCATGGCAACAGAAATTTTAAAAATCAAAGCAAATACTCCAGAATATTTTAAAATCAGTTATTTTCAGTTTTAGCAGTCAGGAGTTTGTATCCTTTCATCATGGAAACAAAGGTCAAATAGTCCCAGAATGTCTCAGAGTCTTATCTTCTATTAGGTATAATTATCCAATAAGTAATCCTCTAAAGTAAATATAACAAGAATCTCACAGCAGATTTATCTTCACAGCCAAAAAGCTTTCATGCATGCACACTTCCATCAAAAAAATTAATAAATCCCTCCTCCATTTGGCTTTCCTGATTTCTTGATTACAGTTTTTTCCAAAGTTACTGTTTTTAAAAAAATCTTTAAAGGTATTTTATAATCACATAAGAGAGGTTATCTTAGCATGGGTTGTCTCATTTGTCTTCAAGCAAATCTCTCTTTGACCGTAGATAACTGTGTCAATTAATCTTCAGAAGTTATCTACAGTTCGAATGTTGTTTACGTTGACTTCCAGAAAGCTTTTGATAAAGTTTCTCATCAAAGGCACCTAAGTAAGCTTAATAGTCATGGGATAAAAGA